TAATACCCATTCATGATGAAACAAAACAAAACAAAACAAAACACTTCCTAGCAGATGAGAAATAGAAGGGACTATTTTCAACTTGATAAAAGATAGCTCCAAAAACTTGTAGCTCACATCATACTTGATGGTGAAATACTGATTTATTTTCCTGTAAGGTCAGGAATAAGATGAGAATGTCCACTTTCACCACATATATTCAACATTGCACTAAAGAGGTCCAGCCAGTACAAAAAGACAAAAATAAATCACAAAAACAATCAGGGAAAAGAAGAAAAGAATCGTTATTCATATATGACATGATTGTAAATACCAAAAAACCCCAAAGAATCTATAAGTAAGTACAGTAAGTGAATCCCAAGACTGCTGGATATGAGGTCAGTATTTAAAATCCAGTTATATTTCTATATATTAGCAACGAAGAAGCAGAAAACAAATTAAACAGTATTTGCAATAAAAAACATCAAATATTTACAGATGAATCTAATTAAAGATGTACAGACTTGTAATGGAAAACTGCAAAACACTGATGAGAGAAATTAAAGAAAGCCTAAATAAGGAAGGATATACATGGATTGGAAGACTCAATACTGTTACGATGTCCTCTCCAAATTGATCGATAGATTCAATATGAATCTAAGAAAACTGCCAGCAGGTTGTGTGTGTGTGTGTGTGTGTGTGTGTAAACTGCAAGCTGTTTCTAAAATGAAGATGAAAACGCAAAGGCTTGAAAATAGCCAAGCCAATACTGAAGAAGAATAAACTGAGAGGATTTACCCTGCCAGACAGCAAGATCTATTAAAAAGTACAATAATTGAGAGTGTGGTTTTGGTGCCAAAAATAGACAAACAGAATAGCACAGAGTCCAGAAACAGACTCCCACATGTATAGTCAAGTGATTGACAACAAAGGTTTCCCTACAGTTCAGTGGAGAAGGAGTCCCTGGGTGGTGCAAATGGTTAATGTGCATGGCTGTTAACCCAAAGGTTGGCAGTTCAAGTTCACACAGAGGCATCTCAGAAGAAAAGCCTGGTGATCTACTTCTGGAAAATCAGCCTCTGAAACCTCTCTGGAGCAGAGCACCCCTCAAACATACATGGGGTCGCAGTAAGGCAGAACCAACTCAACAGCAACTGGTAATGATGGTATTGCCAATAAATTGGCACTGAGTCAACCGAGTATCTGTATGGAAAAAAGTGGATCTGGACCCATATCTCACACCATATACAAAAATTACTTTGTGATAGATCAAAGACTTAAATGTAATAGCTAAAACAATCACACTACCTTATAAAGAACAAACAGCACCCAAGGGAACAGAGGGCGACTTCTAGATTGCTAATCTTTATGTAGGTAGTTATGTAGATCAACATATTTAAGTTATACCTCAATTAAAATAAATACCCAATCTGGCCACCTAAAGGAATTGAAATCTAAATTGATCAGTGCTTAATTGTACTAGGGCACTAGGCATTTAAAATGACTAGGTCTCAGTCTACAAAAACTAAAAACCAAACCTACTCCCATCGAGTCAATTCCAACTCATAGAGACCCCTATTGGGTTTCCAGGGCAGTAAATCTTTACAGAAGTAGATTGGCCATCTTCCTTCCATGAAGCAGCCAGTGGGTTTAAACTGCCAATCTCATGGTTAGCAGTCAAATGCCTTAAACACTGTGCCACTAATCTAGTTGTACTTAATAGGGTAGGACTGAGGCTAGCAAGTCTGGGTATTCCTTCTACAAGAATATACGGAAAACTAAACTAGTACTCTACTTGTTTCTCTACCTGAGATCATTTAATAGCTTTATATATCACGTAGAAAATGTACAAAACCATTTCAGGCAGGAAATACTAACAGTTTTTTTATTATGCAAATCAGAGGAATAAAAAAGCCCCAAGAGACAGGAGTGGCTTATACTCAAAATGCTGACAATAGAGCTTAAAGCAATGACACAACCATTAAACAACTTTAAAGAGCCAGGATCTCTCTCCCTAATGGGGTCTTAGCAGCACTGATATATTTCCATCCTTGTTTCCACAGTAATTTAATTTTGAAGTACTTGCAAAATGTGGGTGCACAAACCTCGAGGAATATTAGTAGCTTATAACAATTAAGTGTCAAGTGTATTTTTCTTAAACATACAAGACTTTGATCAGAAATAGTTGAAAACAAAGAAAACAATTTTGCACGGTTGTCCCAAGTTTCAATGGAACATAAACCATATTTTCATCCATCTATGGATAAATCTTAGCCCAAAAGAATGTCATGGCTCCTTTCTCTGGTTTGATTCTCAAATAATAAATCACTTTTACTGAACAGTGATCAGATGTTTTTAAAAAAGGCATGAGAATCTCAACACTACCCAAAGTATAGTTATGAAGGGGACTGTTACAACAGGACAAGAAGGACACCCGGTAAACCGTGAAAACATGAGCTATTTGTGGCAATGTGAGAGGAGAGGAGAATCTCAAGATCTCTGGAAAGGCCAGGGGAAAAATGACAGTAGGGACATGGATACATATAGTTCAACTGTGTTGACCTCTCCCTTGTTGAGGTGGAAAAGACCGGCCTTCAGTCTTCCCTTCCCCCTTCAGGAATGAGCTCCTCGGAGAATTCGTGAAGCCAGCAGGGACGGGTGACTCCAGAAGCTGGCTGCCTGAAGGGACTGGAGAGCCCTAATGACATACTTTCTTGGATGGACATGTTTGTTTATTGAGCAACTTTTAATATTTGTGGTCCTTAGGTAATTCAGTGAATCCAGCAAAATGTTATTTGTTGGTTCTTGCCAGTGTACCTGCTAGGGTGAGCGGAGAGCTGTATTAGGGAACACCCTGAGAATGAAATAAAAATGCATTTTTTCTCCATTAAGGATACTTATGATCAAAGTTGTACCACATCCGGAAGAGCCAAGCACTGTCTGCTTTAGTAGTTCTCCTTTCATTTTCAGGAACCCCCTGGGAACAGATAAGCAAGAAATCAACACATACCCAGGATAAGAACACATTTACACAGAGCCACTCCTTCGCAGCCAGAAACACACCCTGCTATGTATAAGTGGCTCTCTAACATGAGTAACATTAGAAATTTAATAGCATGTACATATAGCTTTGGAATAAGAAATTGAAAGCTTTTGTCTGAACACCCATACTGCTTGCTAATTTATGAGGCTATTTTCATTCATCAGTGTGGGCCAATTCATACATAAGCAGAAAAGACTTGTGCTCCCAATGTGAACAGCATCTTAAATAGAAAACATCACATCAATATCCCCTATATCTCTGGGGCATTCTCATGGATCCCAAAAGCAACCAGTAATTTCAAAGTTGCTACTGTGTTCTTAGAACACTAGCAAAAGGAAAGCAAGTAGGGAAATTCCATGGTAAGCCTGACAGGCTGATAGGGAAAACTAAAACAGCAAGCAGGTATCTTTTAAAATACCCCTGACATTGTAGTTAGGGCATGTCCCTTTCCCTCTCTGGGCCTGACTTTCATCATGTATAAAATGTGTAAAAATCAGATGATCCCTAAGGTCCTTCCAAGCTCTAATGTACAGTTCCACGCTTTCCTAAGAGTACAGGGATTAGATTCTGGCTTTTGCTTCCTTTTCTCCTGTTTCTTCTGACCCTTCAGATGAATTCGTCTTCCCTTCAACATGTATCAAAGCATACACACAGTATAAAAATGGTTGAGAAAACACTGTATGGGTTTACAAGGGCCAAAACATACCCTTTATATTTCCTTTCACATTATTAGGCATAGGTCTGTATGTCCCCTCCTTCTTGAAGAGCAAAAAAAGTTTCTCGATTAAATGATAAATCTCAGCATCTCTTCACCATACACACACACCTGTCCCTACACTCCATATGTTCCTTTGTGCTTCCTAGTGGGCACTCAAAATGTTGAGTAACCAATATAACAAACCAGACCTCTACCGAATTTTCAGGGCAAGGAAAAATGAGACTTTTTTTTCTGTCCGTCACAACTGGTACCCACCTCCCTGGCTCTCTCCCTGTCATTGCACTTTCATTTCTCCCCTGTGGTGATATAAGTGACATAGCAGATGGAGACTTACACAGACAGTGATCAAGCATTTGCCCTGTGAGTGGGGTGATAACTTGATTCTTGTTTTGACACAGGGGTGGAGGCACTGAGCAGTTCTCGTACCTTGGAAACTATCCCAGCAGCTTGGCATCATGGGAATTGATGCAGCTTGGTTTGGATACTATTTCAAGTCCATGGAATTATATTTTAAGGTTCTGACCACAAAAGAGGGCAAGTGCTTACTGTATCACACACACACCCATCACTCAACAGCTAATCAAATTAACATTTAGAAAATAAATTGGAGAACTTAGACAAAATACCAGGGCTTGTTTCAGACATGGAAATAATTGGGTTTTGAAACCAAATGCTAACGTGAGATCCTTTCCATCTGCAAAATCTAATTTCCGTGATTTCTTATACAAACCCTTATACATATCGCCTAGTGCAGTCACATAGGAGCTCTGGTGGCATAGTGCCTAAGGCACTTCACTGCTAACCAGAAGGCTGGCGGTTCAAATCCACCAGCCACTCCTCGGAAGCAAAGTTGGGCAATCTACTTCTGTAGTGATACCGCCTTGGAAACCCAAGGAGGGGTCGCCAGGAGTCGGGTCTGACTTGACGGCACATAACAACAACAACAGTACAGTCACACATTCAGTGGTGTGCACACATACACAGACACTTCAAAGCCGATGGAAAATACCAAAAAGGTGTGGTCTGTCTAACAGGGAATCGAGTCACACAGCACTTGATCCAACAGGCTCAGGTTCACAAGAACAACTGAGAAAATGACATGTGGAAGCAAGCCAGGAAATGCAGACAAGGTGGCTGAGGCGCAAGCTAAGAAAGGGCATTCCCTTAACAGGCAGGGAGTGCTGAGTGAAGACTCAAAAGCTTCCAGGCAGTTACCAAGGGCAGCTGCTGGCCATCCAGTGTGAAAGTTACACAGGAGAGCAGCTGGAGTGGGACTTCAATCAGAGACAAGGCTTCATGCACAAATGGAAGCAGAAAAAGGTGCCCTGGGCCACAGCGGTCACCTGAAAACCCAGGGGTGCTTGGGAGACTGCTGTCCTCTAACAACAGCTCGCTGTGTCCACCTACATGAACACTGTCACCCCTGACGGCTACACCCTGACACAGATTTGGTTTTGTCCCCATCAAGCAGTTGGAAAAGCCAAGAGTTAATGTCAATTAAAAGCTGATGCCAATAGGACAGGATCTAAATAACAGGGTGGGATGAAGTCGATGGTAGACTGTTTTCTTTCCAAAAGACGGCATACTCAACAGAAATGCCAGAACACAAACGCATATTTACCAAATGTTCTTGGTCTGAATCAACACCAACCCTAAAGGAGAAACATAAAAGGCAAATGAGATTTCAAAGCCAAAAAAGGATCTCTTCACATAGGTACATTTTCAGGCAACTACTTTTCTCAATATAGACGCTAGGGAATGGTTAATGTTCTCTTTCTGCCCTATGGTTGTTGACAGAGAGTTTTGGCTACTGTCATCTTTAGCAACAGCTCGGATTCTAAGTCAAGCACGGTCTACCAATGATTCTCTTCCTGATAATCCCACTTACCAGTTTCAGAAAAAGAACAGTTCCTTCTCTGACTGTGGAGGCAGAGTCAGGGAAAGCAGCCCACCCCAGTGCTGGACAAGTGCGACTGGGGAGCTATCCCAGAAACAAGGTTGCACCATGCGATTCCAGGAGGGAGTTGCATGTTTTTGGACCTCTCAGTTCTCACAGCCATATTCTGCTACAATGACTAGAAAGAGGGTCCAGTTACTATTATTTCTTGGGTACTGGATAAACATTAGGAGCTCTGGTGGCACAGTACCTAAGGCATTTGACTGCTAACCAGAAGGCTGGTGGTTCAAACCCACCAACCACTCCTTGGAAGGAAGATGGGGCAATCTACTTCCTTAGTCATACTGCCTCGGAAACCCAAGGAGGGGTCACTGGGAGTCAGATCTGACTCGGTGGCAGTGAGTTTGGTTTTTTTGGTTTGGATAAACATTACCTTCAGTTTTTCATAGTTCATTTTTATTCTGCTTTCCGTCTCCCAGGGAACAGCTTCCTTATGAAGAGTTCTCCTTTGGCCTCTGTCTCCCAAACATGAGTACTCACGAACTCGGGCGATTCTTCCTCAAGACTCACTCAGGCCTTCTCTCCTTTCCATCCCAATTGCTCAAGCACAGGCCCTCATTCTGATTCATGGTGTCTACAGCCACCTGCAGTAAGGTTTTCCAGCTACCAGGCTCTCCCTTAGAGTTAGCTGTCTAATGCACAGGACTCACTGGGTTATTCCTTGACAAAAGACTGTGAGAGGGGTTTACAATCCAGAGGGTCAGGTCCAAAGTCCTAAGCGTGACACTCAGGACTGTCTACAAACTAGTGACTTTCACCCCAACCAACCTTTCCACCCTCACCTCCCATAATTCTCTTCTACATATCCTACACTAGCCAAACCCGACTACACCTCTCCCCAACTGTCTTTTGCTCACGCTGTTCACTTTCACTGAAATGCACTTGTCCTTGTTTTTTTCTACTCATTTTTTGAGCTCCAAATTAACCACTTTCTGTAGGACCCCTCAAGCAGAACTGTTGATTTCTCTGTGCTTTTGCAGCACTGTCTAGATTCCTCTATTATAGTACTTAGCACGGTAGATTCTAGTTATTTACCTGTCAATCTCCCCAGACTGTGAGCTCCTTGAGGGTAAAAGCCATGTCTCAATTCATCTCTACACCCCTAGACTCTAGCACAGTACCTGACACACAATAGGTGCTCAAATGTTTTTCGAGTAAGTTAGCCACTACAGATAACACAGCAGCGAAAGAAGCTGTAGCAGTCGCATCCCAGAACGAAAATAACACTGAAGGGGTAGAAAATGATGCAAGACGGCACTGGGAAAGCAAGTGAATCATGGTCAAGTACTTGAAAACTTATGTCCACGACCAGATTCCTAATTGAAAGAAAGGCTCGTTTCTTCTTTGTTAAAATTACCAGAGCCTGCTTAATATCTTCCTAGTCACATTAAACTCTAACTACATTTATGCATCTAAAGTGACATCTAGTGGTCTTGTAGATAGCATGTTTGTAATGCCCAGTTGTAATTTATCCGAAGCCAATTCACTGCAATAAACATTTTTAGAGCGCCTATTATTTGCCAGGCACCAACCTCTCCTCGGAAGGAAGGTTGGACAATCTACTTCCGTAGTGATGCCACCTGGCAAACCCAAGGAGGGTCGCTATGAGTCAGATCCAACTCCACAGCAGTGCATTGTGTTGCATTGTGTTGTACTAGGCATGGGGCACAGACGTGAATTAGACACGACATCTGCCCTCAAGATGCTCAGAGTAGTGGGGGAACCAGACACACTATACTGTAATCCCTAAGGACTTTGCAGTCAGGGAGAGCTGGGTCCAAACTTGAACTCATTTGCATTCTAGCTGGGTGAATGTAGTCAAGTTAGACAGCCCTAACCCACTGCCCTAGGGTTGATTCCGACTAACAGAGAGACCCCCACTGGGCTTCCAAAGCTGTCAATCTTTATAGAAGTACATTGCCTCATCTTCCTCCTGCAGAGCAGCTGGTGGGTTTGAATCACTGATCTTCTGGTTAGCAGCTGAATGTCTTACCCACTGTGCCACCAGAGCTCCTTACATAGCCCTATGAACCTTAATTTTATCACCTGGGAAATGGAGATAACGTCCACCACCCAGAGTTGCTGCAACGATTAAATGGAAAAAAAAATGCACCCAAAGATTTTAACAGAGTGTTTGATACATCATAAACACTAAGAGGTAACTATTGTTATAACAAGGCTATTCCTATTATTATTAGAAGGCTGAATGACGCAGGAGCTGTAATAGAGACACCCTGGGTTCAAGTAGAAAAGGCTGAGGTCAAAGGAGGGGACTCCAAAGCTGACTCATTTACTGGGAGGAAAGGAGATTTATAACACAGGGAACAGTACAAACAAAGGCTCAGAGAAACAGAAGTACAAAGCAAGCCTGGTAAATGGCAGGGAGCCAAACGTGACTGTCACAGAGTATATGAAAGGAGGCAGGAATAGTGGGCTGGCTCTAACTCACCGAGCACCCATTGTCCACACAATAGCTAGCGTGATCTTTTACACTGGAAATCAGATTGCATCACTCCCTTACTTACAAATCCACCAAGATTTCCCACTATTTTTTAAAATCCAAAGTCTTTACCCCATATCCTATATCTTATAACAAGAGTCCACAGACGACAACCCATGGGCCAAATTGGATGCCGTTTCCATAAATAAGGCTGTACTGGAACACAGGCTCACCCACTGACTTTATCATCTACAGCTGCTTTCCCACTAGAGCTGAGTAGTTGGGACAGAGACGACATGGCCCACAAAGTCTAAAATATTTCCTACCGGCCCTTCACAGGAACAGTCTGTGACCCCTGTCCCTACAGGATGTTTCCAACCTCATTTCCTCCCCTCTCCTCAATCACTATACTCCAGCTACATGGGCTTATTTTTGTGTTCATTAAATAGGCCAAGTTTGTTCCTGCCTCAGGGCCTTTGCACTTGCTTCTCCTGCCACCTGGACTGCTCTTCTTCATGATCACTGTTTAACTGGCAACATCTTGTCATGCGGGTAGACTGAGCTCAACTGTGACCTCCCAGAGGGACCTTTCCTGACCTCCTCATATAAAATAAATCTCCGGCCTCAGTCAGTATCACAGCACCTTATTTGACCGTCATCACAGCATTTAATACCTTTGAAATTGTCATATTCATGTATTTGTTTACTAGTTTATAATCTGTCTTCTTTCACTAAAATACAAACTTTCTAAGCCCATGGACCTTTTCTTATTATGATCTTTGTACCTTTCTAAAGCAGGGTTTCAGTCCAGATCATTCTGTGTTGGAGGGTGGGGTTGGGGGTAGGGTGAGGGGGAGCATGTCCTGTGCACTGCAAAATGCTTGGCAGCATCCCTGGTCTCTGCCCACTAGATGCCAGCAGCAACCACTGCCC